TTCTTCATTTCTTATTTGGATGGCTTTTGTTTCTTTTACTTGCCCAGTTACTCTGGCTAAGATATACAGTACTATGTTGAATAAAAAAGTGATGAGAGTGGTCAATCTTGCTTTGTACCAGATCCTAAAGGAAAAGCTTTCAGTTTTCCCCCCATTGATTAAGATGTTAGCTGTGTGCTTGTCATATACAGTCTTTATTGTGTGGAAGTAAGTTTCTTCATTACCTATTTTAATGAGAGCTTTTATCACGAATGAATGTTAAATTTTGTCAATATTTTTTTTCTGTATCCATTGAGATGAGCATTTGATTTTTATCTTTCATTTGTTAATGTGGTGTATCACATTGATTGATTTGTGTATGTTGAACCATCCTTGCATCCCAAAGATAAATCCCACTTGGTCATGGTATATAATCCTTTTAATGTGTTGCTGAATTTCATTTGCTGGTATTTTATTAAGGATTTTGCATCTATGTTCATCAGAGATATTGACTTGTAGTTTTCTTTCTTCTGGTGTCTTTGTCTGGCTTTCATATCAGGGTGATGCTGCCCTCATAAAATAAGATTAGAAGTGTACCCTCTATTTCTAATTTTTGGAAGAGTTTATGAAGGATTGACAATAATTCTTTGAAATTTTGGTAAAATTTACACATGAAGCCATCTGGTCCTGGGCTTTTCTTTTGGGGAAATTTTTGATTACTGATCCAATCTCAATATTGGTCTGTTGGCTTTCTATTTCTTCTTTATGTAGTTTTGGTAGGTTGTATGTTTCTAGGAATTTATCCTTTTATTCTAGAGTATCTAGTTTGTTGGCATATAATTGCTCATAATGGACCTGTATGATCCTCTTTATTTCTGAGGAATCCATTATGATATCTCCTCTTTCATCTCTGATTTTATTGAATCTTCTCTCTTTTTTTCTTAGTTAGCATAGCTAAGGGGGTTATCAATTTTATTTTTTTCAATAAATCATTTGTTTTGTTGACTTCTGTTGTTTTTCTAGTCTCTATTTGATTTATTTCTAGTGTAATATTTATTATTTCCTTCCTTCTGCAAACTTTGGGCTTAGATTCTTCTTTCTCTACTTCCTTGAGGTATCATGTTAGGTTGTTTATTTGAGATCTTTTTTTCTTTTTTAAAGTAGGCATTTATTGCTATACACTTGTCTCTTAGTACTGCTTTTGCTGCATCCCATAAGATTTGGTATGCTGTGTTTTTATTTTTGTTTACATCAAGATGCTTTTTAAATTCACTTTTGATTTCCTTTTTGACTCAATGATTGTTCAAGAGTGTGTTGTTTAGTTTTTATCTATTTGTGAATTTTCTCATTTTCTTATTGTTATTGATTTATTTCATTCCATTGTGGCCCATAAAGATACTAGGAATAATTTTGATCACCTTAAATCTGTTAGAATTTTTTTGTAACTTAACATGTGATTTATCTTGGAGAATGTTCCATGTGCACTTGAAATGAATGTGTATTCTTCTGCTGTTGAATGGCAAGTACTGTAATATTAGGCCAATTTGGTCTACAGTCTTGATCAGTTCTGCTGTTTCCTCACTGATTTTTGTTTCTAGATGATTTACCCACTGTAGAGAGTGGGGTAGTGAAGTCTCCTCCTATTATTACATCGCTGCCCATTTCTCTGTTCAGATCTATCAATATTTAATTTTATATTTAGGACCTTTGATTTAGGGTGCATATACATTTACAATTGTTATATCTTCCTGATGGATTGGCCCTTTTATCATGATATAATGATCTTATTTGTCTCTTATGATAGTTTTTCACTTAAAGTATATTTTGTCTGATATAAATATAGCCACCAGTGTTCTCTTTTCGTTAGCACTTGCACAGAATATCTTTCTCCACTCCTTCATTTTCAGCCTATTGGTGTTCTTAAATCTAAAGTAAGTCTCTTATAGATAGAATATAGTTGAGCCCTTGTTTTTTTAATCCATTCATCCACTCTATGTGTTTTGATTGGGGTGTTTAGTCCATTCACATTTAAAGTAATTATTGGTAAGCAAGGACTTACTAGTGTCATTTTGTTAACTATTTCCTGTCTGGTTGTTCTCTTGTTCCTCTCTTTTTCTCTTTTTGGCTTTCTTTGTGGTTTGATGGGTTTTTTCTTTAACTAATATGCTTTGATTCTTTTCTCTTTATTTTTTATGTATTCACTGTACATATTTCGTGTGATTACAATGGAGTCCACATCAAGTATTTCATAGTGATAACAGTCTGTTTTAAGATGATAACAGCTTATTTTCAATCACATACAGAAAGTCTATACTTTCCCACACACACACTTTATGTAATTGATGACAGATTTTACTTTTTTCTGTATTGTGTTCCCTTTAACAATTTTCTTTGGTTAGTGTTATTCTTACTGCATTAGTTTTTTGATTTACATACTAGTGTTAAAAATGATTTGTACACCACAATTACAGTATTATAATACATCTGAGTTTGTCTTTATCTTTAGCACCGAGATTTATACTTTCATATGCTTTCATGTTACTATTGAGCTTCTTTTCATTTCAACTTGAAGATTTCCTTTTAGTGCTTCTTGCAAGGCTGGTCTAGTGGTGACTAATTCACTTAGTTTTTGTTTGTTTGGGAAAGTCTGTATCTCCCCTGCATTGTTAAAGGACAGTTTCACCTGGTAACTTATTCTTGGTTGGCAGTGTTTTCTTTCAGTACTTTGAATACATCATCACACTCTCTCCTGTCCTGCAAGGTTTCTACTGAGATATCTGCTGATAGTCTTATGGGGGCTTCCTTGTATGTAAAAAGTTGCTTTTCTATTGTTGCTTTCAAAATTATCTCTTTGTCTTTGACTTTTGATAATTTGATCATACTGTGTCTTACTATAATCCTTTTTAGGTTCAACCTATTTGAGAGAGCTTTAGGCTTCATGAATTAAGAAGTATATTCCCCTCCCTAGATTTAGGAAGTTCTCGGCTATTATATCTTTCAATAAGCTTTCTGTCCCTTTTTCTCTATCTTTTCTTCTGGGACTTCCATAATGCAAATATTATCTCTCTTGATGGTGTCCCTTAAGTCTCATATGCTTTCTTTAATTTTTTATCCTTTTTTTTGTTCCTCTAACTGTATAATTTCAAATGACTTGTCACCAAGTTCACTGATTCTTTCTGCTGCATGATTGAGTCTGCTGTTGAAGCTCTCTAAACAGCTCAAATTGCTGAAATTCAGTTCAGTCTTTGTATTCTTCAACTCTGGGATTTCTGTTTGGTTCTTTCTATTTCTATCTCTTTATTAAACTTCTCATTTTGTTATGTATTGTTTTTTATTTCATTTAGTTGTCTATCTGTGTTCTCTTATATCTCACTGATCTTTACAATGATTATTTTGAATTGTTAAAATAATGACAATTCATGGATCTCCATTTCTTTAGAGTCAGATGACTGAAGATTTATTAGTTTCTTTTGGTGGTGTCATGTTTGCCTGTTTCTTCATGATCTGTATCATGCTTTTCTTTGCATGCCTGTGCTTTTATGAAGGAAGATGCATCTCTTTCAGTCTTCACTGCAGTCCTGTTGGTGGGCATTTATTACCACAGGCATGGATGAGCATGATTCCTGCCAGGTTTCTTGGTAGACAAAACTGACTAACTCCATACCACAGAAGAGCAATAATGGAGCCAAGTCATAGGGTTATTTCTGGGTATGCAGTTGGGTCCAAGGTCAGTGAGCCTGTTACCAGGGGTATACACAAGTGTGGCACCCACTAGGTCCCTGGGCAGGCAGAACTGCCTCTGCATCATGGTAGAGCAGGCCTGGAGCCAGGTCACAGGGAGCATCTAGATCTGCAGTGTTATCCAGTTTGTGGGCGTATTACTGGTAGCCTAGATGGGATTGGCTCCTGCCAGGTCCTTGGGTGAGTAGGATTGCTTCTGGAACATGGTATGGTGAGGATGGAGCTGGGTCTCAAGGCTGCTTCAGAGTCAGCATTGGGTTTGAGATGAGTGGGGTTATTACCAGGGGCATGGATGGGTGTGGCTGCTGTTGGATCCCTGAGTGGGCAAGACTGCCTCCAAACCATGGTAGAGAGGGGCTGGAGCCAGGCCCTATTTTTCTTATTTTTAATTGATATAACAGACAACAATTTGTTCAAAATAATGATAGCAACAATGTATCCAATAATGTATGCTAATGTGTGTGTATATGTATATGCTATTGTATGCTTATGTATAAGTGAAAGGAATCTTAGCAATGATACCAGGAATGGGAGTGAGGAATTAGGATTATTTTGTTATTATAAGATACTCACACTACCCGTGAAGTCATACAGTGTCACTTGAAAGTGATCTTGGATTAACCGTAAGTGTATATTGCAAACTCTAGGGCAACCACTAACAATAGCAACAAAAATAAGTATAACTGATATGTTAAGAAATGAGAAATAATAGAATATAAAGTGGTCAGTTAAAAGCACAAAAGGCAGAAAAATTGTGGAAGACAAAAATAGGATAAAAGAACAAGGACAGGGCCAGCCCCATGGCTTAGCGGTTAAGTGCGCACACTCTGCTACTGGCGGCCCGGGTTCGGATCCCGGGCGCGCACCGAGGCACCGCTTTTCCGGCCATGCTGAGGCTGTGTCCCACATACAGCAACTAGAAGGACGTGCAACTATGACGTACAACTATCTACTGGGGCTTTGGGGGGGCGGAAAAAGGAGGAGGATTGGCAATAGATGTTAGCTCAGAGCCAGTCTTCCTCAGCAAAAAGAGGAGGATTAGCGTGGATGTTAGCTCAGGGCTGATCTTCCTCACACACACAAAAAAAGAACAAGGACAACAAATACAAAACAGTAATAAATATGGTAGATATTAATCCAACTACATCAATAATCCCTTTGAACACCAGTAGTGTAAATGCACATATGAGAAGACAGAGATTGTCACAGTAGATAAAAAAGACCCAACTATATATTGTCTACAAGAAACACATTTTAAATATAAAGACATATAAATTAAAAGTAAATGGATGGAGAAAGATATACCATGCTAACACTAATCAAATAAAGAAAGAGTAGCTATATTAATTTCAGATAGTGAAGACTTCAGAGCAAGGTAAGTTATCATGGATAAAGAGGGGCACTGCATTATAATAAAAGAGTCAACTATGTAAGAAGACATTACAATCTTTAATGTGTATGTACCTACCAATGAGCACCAAAATATTTGATGCAAAAGCTTATAGAACTACAAAGAGAAATAGATGAATCTACCATTATAATCGGAGACTTTAACGCCCCTCTTTCAGAAATGGACAGCTCCAGCAGGCAAGAATTCAGTAAGGACACAGTTGAACTCAATAATACTATGAATCAACTGGATATAATGGACATCTAAAGACTACTTACTCCAACAACAGCAGAATACACATTCTGCTCAAGCTCACATGGAACATTCACTAAGATAGACACATTATGGGCTATAAAACACACCTTAACAAATTTAAAAGAATATAAATCATACAATGTTTGCTCTCAGTCGTCCATGAAATTAAACTAGAAATCAATAACAGAAAGATAAAGCTAGAAAATCCCAATATACTTAGATATTAAGCAACAAACTTCTAAAAAACACATATATCAAAGAAGAAATCTCCAGAGATATTAAAAAAAACATTTTGAACTACGTGAAAATGAAAATATTTCTTTTCTTCTGCTTACTTTGGATTTAATTTGCTCTCTTTTTCTAGTTTCCTAAGGTGTAAAATAAGATTATTGATTTTAGATCTTTCTTATTTTTAATATGTGCATTCAATGCTCTAAATTTCTCTCTAAACACTGCTTTTGCTGCATCTCACAAATCTGATAAGCTGTATTTTCTCCAAAGATACACAATTGCCCTGCACACCATGACCCACTTCTCCCAGAAAAAGTTGTTAGAAAAATTTAATGGATTTTATAACAAATTCACCCTTAATTTAGCTAACTCAACTCTAGCTATCTTTCTTCTCTGCTGTGTTGATAAGTTACTGCCACAAACTTCTCTGACTACTTGGAGCTTTGAAGTCCTGAATCATCTACAACACTCCTCCTTAGTCTCTAACTTCTTCCCACCATGAGTTTGCTTTTTCTGATCTGCCTATTTTTCTCCTCAAGCAACCTTTTCTATCCCAGCTACCACTTCTGTACACCAAAAGATGAGTCTTAAAAGTCTTTTTTCCTTTAGTGAGACAATACCCAACACAGAAACTTTAGTAAAGATGAAAATGACAAGCTATGCCATAAATTACCAGTGTCCTGGGTTCTAACTCTCCCTTCATCACTTCTATGTTTAAATCATTTAATCTCTTAGAACCTCAGTTGTAATATTTGTAAAATAAAAATAATACACTTGTATAAAAAAAGACAGTATATAGTTTTTATTCAAAATCTATGATTTTAATCTCATGTTCCCTATAATTCCAATTATTTGTCACCAGAAGTCAATATATTGTTGTTGATATAAATTTTTTTTTAAATTGACAATTGATATTTACCAAAAAACAGCCTCCCTCCCACCCCACATGCATGTGCACCTCTACCCCCACCCCTACCACCTCACCTCTACCCATCAGTCTCTCTCTTATTCTGAGAAAGGAGCTGTGTTCTCCTATATACACAGGACGTTTTAGAACAGAATATACTAGCATTTCCTTAAAAATAAATAAATTAATCAACCAACAAATATCTATTGAACCCTCATGATATACTATATATTATTCTACAGTCTGTAGAGACAAAGAGTAACATGGTCCCTGTCATTGAGGTGTTTAAAGTCTATTTGATAATAAAATGTCAAGAAGCAAGACAACAGTGCAAAAGACATTTCAAGGAGATTGTTTTTCACTTGCCAAATAATAGGTGTAGGTAGTAAGTGCTATGACTTAAGAGAACGGAGTGATGTAGCTGGGCTGAAGTGTTGAGAGAGTATCATAAAATAGGTCTAGGAGCAGAGAGGAGAAGGAAAATAGCTGTGGTCCGAATTATAGGGAGGCATCTATTCTGCTATAAATCTGAGGGCTCACTATTACTCTTTGGCTTCCAGAGAGGGACTAGAATATTCCAAGCCCTAGAAATACTTGGCCTTGAATGATTTAAAAGATATGTGCTAAAGTCTTATATCAAGAGCAGACCTGGAGCTATCCTAAAACAAATAATCTAACTGAAGATTAATAAATATGTCAAGATCTAAAATTGTCCAGTTCATTGTAGACCTTAAGGATCCATTTAGGATGTTAAAAGGCAAAGCAATCCGTTACAAAGACATAGGTTTTGAACACATAAGAAAAAACTCATTATAATCATTGCTGAGAGAGGATGAAGAAAACCGTAATTTAGAAAGACATTTCAAGTCTCTCAGAACAATCTTTCTCAATGAAGATGAAATATCTTTTTAATGTCAAGGTGATATTTATTTGCTTAGATAGAAAAGGCGATCTCAAGAGGAGTGGTAAAGCCCTGAGGGCTCTTATTATAAAATAGCTCAGGGACCTGAAAGGCACTTCCACCACTGGCACTTATTTGATATATTCAGCAATTTCCTGTTCAACCTTATCATCTCTATTTCAAGTCAAAGGTGCCCAGCGTGGCAAAAAAAGGCTTAGGGCTTTATATATGAGGTTATTTCATACACGTGAGTCAGGGCAGTCAAGAGAATAGACAAAGGGCAACCTCATATCCCAGCAATCCATTTAAAACATTTAGAATAGTGCTTAGCACATAGTAAGTGCTCAGCAAATGTTGGAACACAACGTAGAATAGTGGTTAAGATCTCCAACTCTAGAAATAGACTGCTTATATTTAAATCATAGGTCCAGTACATACTAGCTATGTGACCTTGGTCAAATTATTTAACACCTCTGTGCCTCAGTTTCCTTAGACAGTTGTAAAGAATAAATGAAACAATACAGGCAATGTGCTTAGAAGAGTGTTCAGAATTAAGTAAATGCTCATTAAGTGGTACTTAGCAGTAATATTTCTCCTCAACCTGAAACTCAGTTTATAAATGTGTATGAAGTGTAATTCTATCACCAACTCTACAAATGCTTTACACCAAAATCAGTATTAGAATAACTACACATCAACCAAAGACAGCTTTTAGTGTGTGCCAGCCATTTAACTTATAGCGCTCTGTGATGACTGGTGTTAATGGTACTGTTTTATAGGAAGTATTTATGGAGTTCACATATTACAGTTCAAGATTTATGTTTAAGAAGAAAATTGCCTTGCTTTCTTCTGAAATAAAAAGAAGCCGATTGAATGGATGGTATAATTTATGCACAGCTTGACAAATAACTGAATTAACATCACTTCCTGGACGGATTCTAATGGACTTTGTAAACAAAGCTAGAGGATAAAAACATCATGCAAGTTAGTCAAGCACAGAAAGTTCTTCTCCTTTTGTTGCAAGAAGCATGTAATTAACTCATTTTTTGAAGAAAATTCTATTAGGCATGTGGTTTGTTATCACTTTAATTTATAACCTGATATAGGCTTTATTTTTTAAATTGATTCCACTTCAGAAAATAATAAAACCAACATGTTCTTTCATGATAAGATGCCTTTAAAGGGATGAATAAAAAGAGTTTAATAAAAAACATTATCCCTCCCAGCAAGTCATTTTGTGGATACTGACAAACTGATTCCAAATTTTACTTGGAGAGGTAAAATATCCAGAATAGCCAACACAATATTGAAAGAGAAGAACAAAGTTGGAGGACTGACACTACCCGATTTTAAGACTTAGTATAAAAGCTACAGTAATCAAGACAGTTTGGTATTAGTGAAAGAACAGACAACTAGATCAATATAACAGAATACAGAGCTGAGAAATAGACCCACATAAATATAGTCAACTGATCTTTAACAAAGGAGCAAATGTAATACAATGAAGCAAAGATAGTCTTTTCGACAAATGGTGCTAAAACAACTGGACACCCACATGCAAAAAAAAAAAAAAAGACTCAAAATGGATCATAGACCTAAATGTAAAATACAAAACTATAAAACTCCTAGAAGATAACAGAATAATATCTAGATGACTTTGGGTTTGGTAATGACATTTTAGATTCATACTAACAAGCATGATTCTTGAAAGAAAGAATTGATAAACTGGACCTCACTAAAATTAAAAATTTCTGCTTTGCAAAAGACTATATCAAGAGAATGAAAAAATAAGCCACAGACTGGGAAAAAATCTTTGCAAAATACATGTCAGATAAAGGATTGTTATCCAAAATATACAAAGAACTCTTAAAACTCAACAATAAGAAAATGAACATTTTGGATAAAAAAAATGGGCCAAAGATCTTAATAGACACCTCACCAAAGATGATACAGAGATGGAAAATAAGCACTTAAAAAGATGCTCCACATCATTTGCCATGAGGAAAATGCAAACTGAAACATCAATGAGATACCACTGCACACCAATCAGAATGCCCCAAATTCTGAACATTGACAACACCCAATGCTAGTGAGGATGTGGAGCAAAAGGAACTCCCTTTCATTGTTAGTGGGAATGCAAAATGGTACGACCACTTTGTAAGACATTTTGGTGGTTTCTTACAAAACTATACATACTCTTACCATAAGATCCTGCAATCATTCTCCTTGGTTTTACCCAAAAGAGTTGAAAACTTATGTCCACACAAACACTTGCACATGAACGTTCATAGCAGCTTTATTTGTAATTGCCAAAATTTGTAAGCAACCAAGATGTCCATCTATACATGGATGGATTAGCAAACTGTTTTACATCCAGACAATGGATTATTATTCATCGGTAAAAAGTAATGAGCTACAAACCATGAAAAGACATGGAGAAGTAACATGGAACGTTACTAAGTGAAAGAAGCCAATCTTAAAAGGTTACATATTGTATGATTCCAACTATATGACATTCTGGAAAAGGCAAAATTATGAAAACAGTAAAAAGATCAGTGGTTGCCAGAGGTTGGAGGTAGTGGGGAGGAAAGAATAGGATTTTCAGAGATGTGGAAATACTTTGTGTGATACTATAATAATGGACACATATCATTATATATTTGTCCGTATCTACAGAACGTACAACATGAAAAGAGAACTCTAATGTAAACTATGGAC